AGCTCTGAGCAACAGCGGTTTGAGTCCAGCCCGAGCTGAGCAGCCGCTGAGCTGCCAACAGGTAGCAGGATGGCTCAGCTAAAAAAAAAAAAAAAGAAAAAAAAAGAAATGGTTCCATAATTTAAGACCTCTGTTTGATCTGAATATTTAGTTCGGTTTTTCAGAACCGTGAAACCATTATTGATGACCTCCATTTGAAAGAGAAATTTAGGATTTTCTCTTTGAGTAGAAAAACTTAAGGAAAGTAACTTTACTGAGTGAAATTTCTCACAGTTTGGTTTTGTTTTTTAAAATCCAAACATTTCTAAAAGACTTCTTGAAAAATTTCAACATTTATGTGCTGAATGCCTTAATTACATGTGTGTAAGAAGGCCATGAGAACAATGTTAGTGTGAGCGATCAGATCTGCCAAATAAAGCTGGGTATAGATGATTTAAAACTCACCATCTAATGGGAAAACATCCAGTTACTATAAAACAGGGATGATAGTAGTAATTATCACATAGGGTTTTAGAGGTAAGTAAATAATATAAGGAAGTACACATTAAGTAAATAATATAAGAAGTGCTCGATAAATGTTTGTAATTATTATAGTGTTTTATACTATTTATAACCATATTAGAGACATATAATGTGCAGTTATGATTCCAATGAAGGGGTGGTTTTATACTGAGGTTGTCAAGTAAGGTGTATTTAAGTTTTCTTTAGATGGGACACACCCTTTACATGAAGATTGGGCAGTATGCCAGTCTATGTAGAATTGCTACCTTTTGGAAGACCAATGGAGATAAGCACATACATGGTATTTTCAGGGAACAAGGATCCAACATGACTAGACTACATGAGCTATGGGAAAGCACTGTAATCTCTAAAGGAAGTGGCATGATGATATCTTGGAAAGATAAAAGGCTAATGAGTGAGAAGTGGGTATAATTCTAGTTGCCTCTTTTTAGCCCTGTGATCTGGGACAGATTATTTAACATCTGAGTTCCTCTTTTCTCATTGGTAAAAGGATATGTTTTTATGATCTGTTGTGTGGGAGATGTTTGTGAAAGACTTACATAATACTGGTACATAAAGGACATGAAATATGTGTTTGCCTTTGCTCTACCTCCTTTATCTTCTTCCTTGTTAGTAGCTTTACTTATGAATATTCATATAAAAAAACTTTGACATTAATTTGTAGATCTGAAAAGCTGTATCGAGGTTATTTGTCATAAGAAACTATAATACTGGTTGTAGTTATTTTTTTAAATTGATGTAGTTTTCACACATCCTTTTATTGACAACTTTACTATTACACATATTGTTTTACTTTTATTTTTTGTGCTTCGCAGAGGTTCTGCGAAATACGTTGTAGAAATTAAGGAAATATTTATTGACCAATATGTATGGATCTAGGCCATTTGAAATGTGAAAAATCTCAACATTCCTTTAATTGTGCTGCCAATTAATAGATGAGTTTAGTGTAGGCAGTCATCTCAACTTAGGAGTGAACCATGCTTAAATATGGAATCCTGTGAAAAAAATATTTAAAAAAGTAAACGGTTCACATTTTTTGGTAATAACAAGGGTAGTTTAGATGTTTTTATCCAGTGTGGCTCTTTTTTTTTTTTTTTGAATCAAAAATTCCTTTGCAAATAATTTTGCAAACTATTCTGGAATAAAACTACTATTACACAGTGGAAAATTATGCTTGGTGTTAGGGGGAAAAAGTCTTTGGTTTAAAATATAACTAGGCTGCTCGAAGTTAATTGACATGCTTGGAGGCAGGGGGGCTAATTAATACTCTATTCACTTTAAATCATTTTAAAAGTTATTGACATCATTAAAAGGCTAACTGGCTAACTACATTTTTTAAAGGCCTAAGATGATCAGAAATAAAGGATTTTCTTTGAAGTGCACTCTAAGCAAAATAAAATTTTCTTTTCAATGATATAGACAATCTTCCCCCCATTTATGAAATCTGATAACTACAAAGAACATATTTATGAACACATTTTCTCAAGGTGACTTCAACTATATTTAGGGACGATATCTCCAGTGTAATAGATGAGAAGCATTCCTGCAGTATGCATGAAACCACTATTCTTAAATTATTACTTGAAAATTTACTCTGAGACCTGATGAAAAGTGACATTTGAAAATTTTTACTGTAAACTCTAGGATAATTATAAAAGTATGGTCAGTGTTACCTTACTTTGGTTCCTTTTATTGTAAAACATTTGAAAAATCAGGTATAATTGTTTCTTTAGGAAGCAGGGAACTGTCACTGGGGTGTAACTTTCTATGGAGACTGTAGATTCTTTTACCCACTTTATTGTCATGTCTGTTTTGCACCACTGTCATGGTGTTGGTTGCATGTAATGTGCTGTTTTTGGTGTTTTGAGGGTTCTATTGGATCTGTTTTTTTGTTGTGGTAATTGCATGGATCCATAGAATGTCAGAGCTGAAGTAACTGCCTTCTTATGATGTGCCTGAAGCAGAACAGCTTTAGTTTTTCATTTTTGCCTCTAGTGATGTTTCAGGCTTAATTTGCTCTAAGGACCCACTTGTTCATCTTTGGTGGTCTGGGGTATCCATACAGCATTCCTCCAATATCATATTTCAGATGAATCAATCTTTTTTTTAAAAATCAGCCTTCTTTACTGCCCAACTTTTGCACCTGTATATAGTAATTGGGAATACAAGGATGTGGATGATCTTAGCCTTGGTCTCTAATAACACGTCTTTACTCCCGATGATTTTCCTAATGAATTCTTCCATTGTTGCCCTTCCGAGTCTCAGCCTTCTCTTGATTTCTTTAAGTAGCAAGAAGTAATCCTTGAATCAGTCATACCTGGTCATCCATCCATAGCTGCTTTAATGTTTTACTTTTAAAGATGGTAGTGAGCCTGAGTTCTCATTCTTAGAGTTTGAAAGAAGTTGAGAACCGCAAACCTGGATGGTTATAAGTGGTCATACTTGTCTAAATAAATGAAGCTCGTTTGAAAAGATAAAGTAAATTATTTTTATCTTCACCTGTGTGAGTTTGATTTATCTGTTAAAAATAGAACTATTTAAAGAAGGTAAAATACATTTTAGAATTGTGCATTTTGCCTTTTTTTTTAACAGGTACTCTTTTTTTTTAAGATTTTTATTGGGGTATTAGGGGGAAGGGAACAGTGCTGGGAAATTGGGGGAAGGGGAACAGACAAGTTGCTGTCCCTTTTTGTTCTTCAGTCTAGTTGTGGAGGACGTT